GCTTAAGAATTCCCTTTTATTTTTTACAGTCACAGCAAAAAAATCTCATCCTATCCACACTCACCATTACGGCACCCACTCTCCCCTTTTAAAAGGGTGGGGTAAAATCCAAGAGCTATTTCTGACTGAAATCCTATGACGGGGTTTTTTAAATGAAGGTCTTGCCCGGTCAAAAAAAAAAAAAAAAAAAAAAAAAAAAAAAAAAAAAAAAAAAAAAAAAAAAAAAATATCCACCACCAAACCTAGATTTTTCTAACAAAGAGGCGGGACGGGGGTGGAAGGAAATAGGGAAATAATTAGGAGATTCTTATTCACGGGGTTCAAAGAAATTTTCATCCAGACAATGACAGCGGTTTCTGAAGGAGTTAAGGTAAAAGCGGGGAGGTTTATGATTGATTTTTTTTATTTAACTTTTTCTCTTTTTTTTAAAAACGCATTTACTTTTTGTTGTATGGATTTTTGGGCATCTATCGGGTAGCCATTTTTTTTTTTTTTTTTTTTAGTAAAAATAAGTAAAAAAATGAGTGAGTAAGCAAGCATTTCTATGACTTGATGTCTGTTAGAGTATGAGAAAGGGTAACATTTATAAAGGGATTCGGGGAAACGAATAGCCAAATTTGAGCCCGGGGGTTGGGGATTTGCATTCGGAGAGACATCTAGCTGCAACGTTGGGAAACTTGGGCAAATGGCAAGGGATGAGTGAGGTGAAAGATTTTTTTTTTTTTTGGGGTCACCCTACATCAGTAAAAAACAGCGGGGTTTTTTAAGAAAAGAAAAAAAACGTGTATTTCTTTGCCCTTTTGGTTAAAAAGGGGATTAAGTTAATATGGGATTCCCTTTTTTTTTTTATCTCATTTTTTTTGGGCCAAAAATTCTTTTATTTTTTGTGTGATTTGGTGCACGTTGAAACAAGCCAAAATAAATCCCAATCTTTTTTCAGGGTTTTTATGAAAGCTTTATGTGCCATTGGGCCCGGGCACATCTATTAGAAAACAAAAGACCCATACTGTGTATTAACATTATTTTTGCAAATTTGAACCGTCTACTTTGAAACCTTTTTTTTTTTTTAGATTTAAGTTAATATAGAAATTCATTAATGACCAAAAACTATATAAAATACATACATGTGCTTTTAAAACAGAACATACAAGAAATAAGTCTACCTACTTTATATAGTAGTTGCTTTTTTAGAAGGGAAATTACCCCAAATCTGCTGGAATAAAGCTAAGAAAATTTGAGGAGTACATCTGAAGTTGACTGGACCAGAACGGGTTAAAAGGGAAAGGAAACAACTGGGGTATTTTTGTTAAGCCCCACAATCTAGTCACAAAAATATGAGCTGGGGGTAAATTTTAGTGAAAAAAAAGGGAAGCTGGTAAATAGCTTGTAACATCATCATTAGAAAAAAGGGCAGTTATTTAGATAAAAACCCCGACCCCAATTCAGAACTATTTCTTGACAAAATTTCACCGAAATTAAGTGGTGTATGGGAAAACTTTACTGTCGGGGAAATTATTATTTACTGATAATCACCCAAAACAATAATAAAATAATAATAATAATAATAAAAAAATAAAAAAATAATAAAATGAAGGACCTGGTACCATTTGGGTCACTAGTCCGCTTTTCACCAAACAAGAAACACCTTTTACACACCCCCAGATCACCCCACTATCTTCATAATTTAGTTTAACCCAACCTAACAAACCTAAAAAAAAAAAAAAAATTTTGAAAGGAAGTGTAAAAACGTGTTACAGCAGGGTGGGTCAGTGTTGTGGTGGTGGGGCAGCATTCTTTCGACCCATCCCACGACCACCTCCACCCGTATGTAGGGGTTTTTTTGCCCATTATTGTTAAAATTTCATTGTAAAATCTCATATTAAAAAAAATCAACTACCCATTTTGTGTTTTTTACTAGAAGCATAAGTCCCCTTTAGAAATTTTATTTACTTTTGTTTGTTTAAAACTTTAGTAAATTTGGGAACTTCTCTGTCCATTTTAACTACCTCATATTTTTTTAAATACTATCAACTAAATTTTCTTACTAAAATTAATAATTATAATTTTTACTATTTTTTTAAATTTTACTCTTAACATTTTTGACATTTAAAACCATTACTTGTCTAATTACCTTTACCTTTTTTTAAAATCCCAAATTTTACTATTTAAGTACTCTTAATTACCTTGTACTGCAATAAACCTCTAGTATAACTTCCAGGAAAATATTGAATGAAATAAACATTTTTTTTTCCCTTTTTTTGTAATCATTTTACTTACAAAAAATTTTTTTTAAACACCATATTTACTACCAGTCAATTTTACTTTTGTACATTAAACATTATTTTTATACTTCCCATAACTTTTTTGTTGCCAAATTTTTCAAGTTTGATTTTCAACTCCAACCTTTATTTTACCTTTGTACTGTGTACCTGTTTACCTGCCCCACCATCTTACTATCATTTTAAAACCAAAGACATTACCCCATTGTTATTTTTTATATTATTTTTTGGGTACTTTAATTGTAAATTTATATTTTGTCAATTAAATCCAGTTTATCCTAAACTTGTCAACAACCCTATACCAACTCTAGTGCAATTGCAATACCTTTTAAATTTTGTATTTTTTATTATAAGTTTAATTTATAATCCTACTCAAAGATTGTTTTCATATCTTAGTGACTATATTGTGTGTGCAATTAGTGTATATTTCAATTATATTTTGTTCAAGGCCTTAACTACTTTGCTAACAGTACCAACTACC